CATTTTAATTAAATTTTAGATCATAAATATATCTTTCATTGAAGATCAAATTACCAAAAAAATTATCCAGATGCAAGATCTGGAAGAAAGCATAAATTATCTTTTCCCAGAGATTTCTTCAGTATAACATAAATGTGAGAAAAAACACTAAACAGCATGAAATAAAGAAAATAAAGGCTTTCACGATTAGCTAAATATTTTTCTCTTAAACACTGATAATTAGTTCTTCTGTATAAACAACTTGAACTACTTTTTAAAAAGCCATAGCACACCAAGAGGAAGGCGGAAGAGGAGTGAGGGAAGCATGGCCAGGGCATACAAGGACCCGGAGTGCAGCCCTATGTGCCACTCAGAAACACAGGCAGGAGCTCCAAAGACCAACTCGAAACACAGACACCAAACATGAGTTTCAGAACCACATGAAGCCAAGCTCATCGCTTCTCAGACAGGCAGTGAGGCTCAGTAAAATGTGCCCTATGATTGCGTCTTACGATAAACTTCTGTTTACCTACCCTAATGACCACGAGGGCACCCTGATAGAACTGATGATCAGTACCATTAGCAGGTACTAGAAAACCACTTGTTTTATGAACAAATGCTCTGAAACACTAGAAAACTAACTAACGATCAACTCTATTAAAACAGTGACTCCATGAAGACAAAATAACCACTTATAAAGATAAACAGAACTTACTTCCGAGACCAACAAGATGGCTCAGCAGGTTAGGTGCTTGCCTCCAAGCCTGATAAGCCAGGTTCAATCCTTGCACCCCACATGGTGGAAGGAAAGAATATACTTCCTGCAGAAAATTCCACACTATGCTAAGCAAAGGACAATGACTGAAGATAAACCTAGAAGCATTGCAGAGTAAGGACAACACTGTGTGAGTCATGCTCCAATTTGTTATTTTTTCCTATGAATAAGATTTTCACTCTTTTTAATAGTTACTTAAGAGTTCGAAGTGATTATCTCCAGGGTTTTAGTAGGAGTCGGACTAACAAAGAAGGAGCAATGAAAGAATGCTGTAGGTTTTGAACTCTTGCTTTGGAGTTACACAAATGCATACATATATCAAAGTCAGCAATACATACAAAATGTGTTCACATTATTATCTGCAGAAATAAAATGCTACACAAATACTGAATTCAGTTAATGACTTATATGTTGGACTAGTTAGTGAGACATGTAACAGCATATGAAATTTACTTTAACAATAAAAATAAGATAGGGGCAGGTGAGCTGGAACATTTGTAGGTAATAATGCTTGTCCTCCAAGCTTGATGACCTAAGTTCAATCACTAGTACTTATAGTGGATGGAAAAAACTGACTCCCCAAAACTATCTTCTAATCCCTACCTATATATGAATGTGTGTGGACACACACACACACACACACACACACACACACACACACACAATATTTTTTAAGATGGATTAGCATATGACAAGTAAGAAAACCTAGCCAAATATTTATATTTGATGTTGATCTTGATGTTGAGAATATACTATGTACTGCAAAATTCTTTCAAAAGGGCTGAATGATTGGAATGTTTCACAATAAGGAGCTGGGAAAAGTTAAGAATACAGTCTATAACTGGTGTGAGCACTATTCAGAAATGTGGTTTGCAGCAGAAGACAGAGTGACTGAGTGGGACAAATCCCAGAGAGGATGTGATATTTAAACCAAGATATGAAAGATTCTGAGGAGTTACCCAGGCCAGGATATGAGGATGCCCTCCAGACTCTCCTGTCTCTTCCTCTGAGGCCCTGAAAGTTAGGGCAGTCAAGAAAGCCAATGTGATTGGGGGGGGGTGGGGATATGAAGCCACAGCATGGGGGGGGGGGGTGAAGCCCACTAACCACTGTGGCTCCTGACTGGAGCTAAAGACAAGAGATCAACAGCTCCCTATCTCTAAACCCTGAGGTCACGGGGGGGGGGGGGGGGGG